CAACGAACTCAACGCGATAGTAACATCACCGAAAATGAGACACTGGATCTACCTTTCAAAATATGGTCTTTTTGACAAAAAAACAGCTGGAAGTAAAGTAATGGTGCTCCATGAATTGAACTTACACCATAATTTCTCACAGGCCAATTATGCGTTGGTGCGCCTTAACACCAGTTAAAAATACAGTGACAATTTGGGGCCTCATCATTAACTCAGATAATCGCCGGGGGCAGGCGGCCATGCGATTTATGGGCGGATGGGCACCGGAGAAATAGTTCGCTGATTTCTTGCGGTCCGCTTGCAGATATTTGGAAGAATTTTAGCGAAATTTTAGGCGAATGCTTGGAGAACAATCGCGGTCTCCTTGTAGATTAGCTGCGGCGCAGTGGCCGCAAAGTTCGCGAGAATATGCAAAATTTTCGAGAGCCGCACGGTCCTTTGTGGAGGGCCGCGCAACCTCCAGGTACTTTCCGCTGAGAGAAGGTACCTCAAACTTGAGTAATTAAACGAACGGTAACACCTCCTCCACACAGAGTCTTACCTTTGCTGACGTACGCCCAAAACTGCGTAAAAAGAGTCCGAGCGCCTGCTGAAAGTTCGGCCAGCCTTTGCTGAAAGAGATTATTTGACGAGCGTCTGCAGAAAATGCTGTGTTGCTGCCCGCTGGCAGAACATTAAACAGTAAAAGATGTACGCTCTCGCTGAAGGTTTGGCCACGCCCCAAACTGCTAATCGCTTGCAGAAAAGCGCGAGTTTGCGGACCGCCTGCCCCCGGCGATTATCTGAGAATACTCTCAATTCGCTGCAGATCTCCGTTGCATATTAGCGAATTCTGGTGTATGCTGTCCCCCCCCCCCCGGCTTAATACAAGTGTTTTAAGATAAAATGACCCGAGCTGAATTGATATCAATACTCTACGCGCAGATTGACTACCTCTTCTAGCAAATTAGTTTCAGTGGAATTTCGTTATATTCACATGATTCAAGCGCTAATTATTTTCGATTTGACTTTGTGGACACAACAAGGCAACTTCATTTTCAAGTTAGTACATTTTACGAGTCCTTTGAAAAAAATCATTCAATCTGTAGTTGGCGGTCGTGGTAAGGGGCATTGTCGATCATTTATGAGACGCCCGTTGACCACCTTCATGCATGGTACAGATTTGCGGGACCAGTGTTCATAGACTTAGATTCATATTACGATGGTAGTCGTCCTCAATCAATCTTGTACCACTTATAATGGTTTATTTGAAAGAAAAAGATCCCTTCTTCAATTTAGCGCTATGACAATCACACACCTAATTTTGATTTTCGCCATGGTTATCGCGCAAGTATTCTCTCATGTGGCAGAGGCAAAGCAAGAGATTATAATCGTCACAAATTTCGTCTTAGTACAATCTACAATCCGTACAATCTAAGGCCCATGCCTCGCCCATATAGACGAGACAGTGGCCCCAGCTCTTACGTCCACTATTGGACAAGGTTGACATTTCCTTTCTTGGTCAGCACTAGGAGCTTGGAAATAAAAGGCCGCCCTTGACTGATCCGGTAGGCTAAGCATATACACTTGAGGAGGTGGTAAAAAGTTTTTTTGTGCATTGGGAAATTTGGATGCAACGCGGCGAGTTCATCCCTCAGTCCTTCCATCGTAAAGCGCTCCTACATCTGTAACTTACTATGTATGGAGTGTCGGACCACACAGCCTTATTTATTCCTCATATCTTCATACAACTCACTGACTCAAAGCTTTCAATTCTTCATCTCAATCTCCTTGGAGTCATTACAGCGTAGCCGCAATGATTATGTAAGTTTGAACGGCCATTCACAGATTGTGGCGATTAACAAAAATGGGTTTATGGAAGATTGTGTCGGTGGCATCTTCTGTTAATTTTGACTGAATTTACTCAATATGCCAGCATTTCATATATAGGGAGCATACCCGGTGGCCCGACCTTTCAATATGAAATTTTCATTATTTGCACCTTGGAGCAATAGTTTCCGATATGCCTTCGGTATCTGCTGTGCGCTGTTCCGATAGAAATTATGAACATTTTTTGCCACCAAAAATTATGTTTGGTGACAGGATTCATCAATATCGCACCTTCCAAATAAAGCCAAAAATCACATTGAGCTCTGGAAGACTGACCCGATATATCCAACTCTAAAAAAGCCTAAGCACTAACGATTCTGACTGCGTAGATCTCGTCGAATCAATATGGAAAAAGTCCATATCGTCTTTCAGAGAGTCGCACAGCAGATATTGAACACAAATCTGGAATCAGCGTACTAAGGCGCATCTACTGGTATACATCTTACTGCAAAAGGCCACGGTCACCAAGTATCTTTCCCTTGTCGGTTTATCTCCTTCAAAACTGTGATTTTCAACGAAAATACAGCTCAAATAAACGGAAGAATGAGAGAGACATAAAACTAGGATGCAGGAGGTTTTCTCACGACAGCACCAACTAATGAGAGAGTAAAAGAGCTAAAAAGAGGGACATAAAATGAAGACGTAGAGGGCGTTGGGTCATCCACGAAGAGGTAACAGAGAATTATCAAACGATGATTTCAAAACACATTTCGTCATCGCTTGCGCAAACTGTTTGACTCCTTTTTGAAAGTGGAAACACTTGTGTTGGAAAAGAGTTGCATGGTGAAAGTGTACTAATTCGAATTGAAAAAAGTGTACAACCTATTATAGTAACTAAGTCTGCACAATTTCAGCTTGCTGTGTTTTTGCGAACGAATTATTTATTTTCAACTTTGTGGAAAAGAATTTTTCACTTTACCATTAAAGATCAAACAGTTTGCGCAAAGTTGTAGCTCACTAATTAGTTTACGTTACATCGAAAAGTGAGCGCGTCACGTCCAAGAAGAGTTGAAATTAATTGCAAATCTCATGCGCCAACATTTTTTGTTACCCCTGGAACATGCATTGACACTACTTAACTGATACTGCTTCCTTTACTTTGGCATGATTGAACTTTCCAAAAATTTTGCTTATAAATTTAACAACAATTGCATCATGCTCGATGCAAGCATGAGAGTCAGCGCTGCAAAATTTTACCTGCTCATGACGTAAGTCAATTCAATTCAACTGAAACTTTCCTGCTATCAATAATCTGTATTATTAGGTTGTTGCAAAAATAATGTCCGTTTTTCTAGGCCTATATTTCAAACAACTTTTTTTCCATCAAACTTTCTTTTCGATATAGAATTTGCATATCATTGGAAAGCCCTCTTCATGTACTTTCTAACGATGGTGGAAATAGGCTTCTATCCTCATCTGTGAGAATTTCACCAGCATCTCGCATAACTGCACTCAAAATTGAAATTTCGATGCTTGAGTTTCCGTGGCCACAATTTAGGCGCAAATGAACGAATTCTTCCGAAAACATAGCATTTCTATTGGATGAAGATTGTTTACATACAGCATGCTTATGTGGATTTTTGGAGATATCTGAACTGAGAAATGGACGCCTCGAAAGAGATACTCACTGCTGGCATTCTATGGATCAGAAATTTCTCATAATTAAGGCAATCGCCAAAGCTTCGCCCATTTCTGTAAACTTGAGATTAGCACACCTCAACTACAATATTCGAAGAGAAACTCAGCTATTCACTGCGCGAAGAATTTCAAATTTTTCCAATTTGACACTTATAAGCCTACAACAGGTAGGCTTAGAAAAGTGAACTATTTTGAATTTTTGTCTTTTCTTTTCGCAGAACTTTTTCGTCGAAGTCTTTTCTATACCGTCATAAACTCTTGGTCTGCTGCTACAAAATAAGCTGATTGCCAGCCATACGAACAAAACTTGAAGGGAGTTGTAAGCTCTTAAAGAAGAGGTTTTCGAGAGAAAAACTTTTAGCTTTTTGACGCGTGGTTTTCTTCCCAACTGCGATATCAGTATGAGCAGGCGCGCGCTAAATTACGAAAGGTTTGCTGTTTCTGAAGGTCTTGACTGCATTCAAGAATATGAAGACTGAACGAAGTTATAGCCCTTCAAAGTGAAAATTTGCAAAACGGACATTATTTTTGCAACAGCCTAATATTATCGATGCAATGTGTAATGTTAGTCCTTCAAGTCGCTCTTTTGGCACGATTCTGAACTGATATTTTCGTTGCTGTCAACAATGAACGACGAAGAATATTTAACGGCCGAATTTGATTATGTCTTGCGAGAGTGGGAAGCTATCGAGCAATAGTCTGCCGTCGTCCACTCTGACCTGTGGAACATTGCTGTGTGTCGCTAGGCATTACCGTGCGACAAAGGTGGAAGACATCTAAAAACATCGGGGAACGCTGGCTATCAATAAAGGTTTTGCGAAACTCAAAGAAATTTTCAAAACTAGGAGTAACAGTTTCACATGCGGTTTTGCAAAAATTGTCAAAAAAAGCTATTGTGTTGTAGAAAGACTGTCCTCTTCTTAGATTTACTTTGATAAAACATCAAACCGAAGTTTGTTTTTTACGGCTGTTTTACCTTTAGCTAAAAATGCTAATAATACTTAAGCCTCCAGAGAGCCGCAATCGTTGTCGCTACATGAAGCATTGTCCGCAGGCTAAGCTGTAAGAAGTGGCTGCAACTTTGTGCGTATGCTACGTCACGGTCTTGCCGCTATAGTTGACTGCAAGGAACTGCCCAGGCTGAACGTCCACCCGTTTCTCTTGCGGGCTAACATTGGCATTCACGCGCATGGGTCGTGATAGCTTAGTGCCTCGCGACAACCGCTCGCCGTAATGGTGTTCAAGGCAAGGCGCGGTCAGTTAGGTTTCATAAAACCTGCATCTGAAGTGGTTAAACTTTTGTCGAAGTAGAAAAGCTGAGCTAACGGTATGTGTGCAGTACAGCAGAAGGAAAATCATCTTTTCTCCGACGGGACGATGCTCGAGAAAAGGTTTACAATGTATAGGCGTCGAAGTTGTCGTCGAAAAGTTTCCTATTGTTTAATGAATGAGCTTAGCAAATGGGCTGATTTTTTTATTGTCACGAAGTTTATCACGAAAAGAATGGAGTGGGCTGCGGAGGGAGGGCCTGGCAGCTTAGAAGAGCAAACAAATTGCACGAGACTTTATCACTTGAAACTATGAGCTGACGTTCTTTTGAAGAAAAGCCGATGCCCACTGTCAACACTTTCTTCAAACTTTCAGCTGAAAACATGGCAGATGAACAAGAAGTTAAAATAAAATATATACTGCTCACTTTCAGATATGAAAATGATATTTTCGTACTTCTTTAATCGAATGAAGTATAATCCATTAAACAGAGTTTTTCATGACGCTGAGAAGATCAATGTGCTTTTGGAAGACAGGTGGTTGATGCATGCAGTAAACTACCTGCAAATTTGAGAAACAAGTCTGTGTTTGTTACAGTTTTCATTGTTCAAGTTATTTATTTGTCAATGTTGCGCTCACTTCGTTTTCTCCTGTTGTGTTTCTCGTGTCGCAGTAGTGGAAAAACTCTGAGAATGATTCCATCAGCTGAAAAAGCGGAATGTACAAATCATTTTCAAATAAACTTTGATTCGAGAAAAATGCTGTCTGCTTGACTATATTGTCACGAGTATCAGGCAGCTCTAGAATGCTACTCCTTATGCGTACTTTCATTGATGTAAAAGGCGCGACTGAGCACTAGGAGTTTCTTCAACGGACATGCTTAGTATAGAGACTGATGATTATGGGAAAGTAATGTAAGTCGATTTCGATACATAGCGTCAGAGTAACTTACAAGCTCGCACTCCTCGCTCGCAGTAATTGTGCCTGGTACAGCGTTTATGACTATGACTCCTCAAATGAGGCTTTCGTGAGACTTTGTACATATAATCCAATGCATACCTCTATCAGATATTAGATTTGATAGGTACCGGATAGAACTTCTTTTGAGAAAAGCATCGGTTGGACATAGAATTTTGTGCGATGATTTTGAATAACATGCATCCAAGATAATGGCATTGTAGTGTACGCCTAAACCATCGGGTGAGAAAGGTGAGATGACCTCCGCAGCAAAAAAAGACAGCAAAAAAAGTTGAAGATGGAGATAATGACAGCAAATTGTTGTTCAGTTTATTGGATTGATGAATCGAAGCGACTAAGGTGCAATAGGCTCTTGCACTCTTGACAGAGCAAATTGAATCTTTAATTGGAAAAACCACAGCTAAACATAAAAGGTGCAAAGATATGGCGAGAGAGGGGGGGGGGGGGCGGAAACACTATCGGGGACTTCGCACTTTTCTCAACCTACCTCAAACCCTTCTTAAGTCTACCCCTTGTGAATATCAAAATCACTATGTACGATCGCTTTTAAGTCATCTTGACCCTGAATCTTTAGCCAGGATATTTCAACCAGATATCATTTCCGTGGACAAGTTATCAGAAACACTTCACAAGACAATGTGTTCAAGCAATGCATGGAAATGAAAACTGAATACTCAAACCTCTCACTGTAAAAAGAAGATTTCGACGCCTTTAGTGGACAGGAGTCCAGTCATTCTAACAAAAGTCTGCCCATTGTCGCCTACAAGAACAATAACAAATTTAGGACATGTCAATACGTCAAGAGGTAAACACTGATAAACACAATTGTGATTTTTATGAATAAATGGGATCCGATGCAAAACGTCGCAAACGTTTCCTTAAATCTGAGGTTTTAGTCCGCTCTAAACATAAGTTAGAATTAACACTGCAAAAGCACAGACAGTGTGTTTTGTAGAAGGGCATTGGAATGCCTTGATCATGCAAATATCCCCATTCAATGGGTAGCGGCGGAGAAAGCTCACAAATAATTGTTTTTTACTTTGAATATTTTGCTTTTTCTCTCAATTTTGGGCCTTTTGAGATTCTTCAACTCCACAAAGCTTCTCTTCTCCTTCCCTAGCTGGAGATATTGGCACCTTGCCTAAGATAATTGCTAATCGTATGAGAAGATAATAACAGAAAGTGAAGGGCTCTGTGTGACAGCGAGAGTCGGTGATGCTGTGATTGCTTGTGTATGCAGTTTTCAATTCCCTTTCAAACGATTCTTTGCTATCAGATGTTAGCTTTCGGTTACCTGAAGCGATTTTGAAAAGTCGTGGGTTGCCTAACTAGTCTGAAGCTTTGCGGTGCCCTGTGTATGCAATGGCAGCATAAATACACCGACCCTAGTCTTTTTGAGAGAAAGAACATGCGTTAATAGGATCTTGCTCAAACGGCTCTACTACACTAATTTCACGCGTATAAGGCGCACTTTTTCGAATTTTCAGGCGAGCTGCTCAGCCGCTTCACTGTTTTCCGGAAAGAAATCCTTACATCGCACGATTTTCTCAAGCAATATGCAGCACGTTATAGGGCCCTTGTCGTAAAGTCCTTTGGCTTGTCCGGGCTGGTCGATTTTGGAAAAAAATCCCCACGCCTTATACGCGTGAAATTAGGGTAAATATTCATATTTATCAGGTTGTCCGGAAAATAATGTCGCATGGCATCCTACCGCGACAGAATGACCACAAAAAACATCGAGTGGGGTATCTTTCGATGGAGCAAAGCAAGCTCTACAAGCTAGTTCACAGATCTCCGCGGAGATGTTGCTCCAACTGAAGTTCGAATCCAAAATATAAAAAATTTCAGACGCCCGAAAAATCGTATCTCCGTTCACAGACGTCTTAGAGATCTCCAATTTGCACAGGCATGTACTCTCCACACTAGACATTCACCTGTATAGTTTTTGGTTTTTTCCATGGCTACGTACGAGAAATAAAAAGAGGTCAAAAGTGCGAATATGTCGTGTTTTTCGGGTTTTTTGCAAACAATTTGATTTTTCTCGAAAACTAGCGCTTGTCTAAAGCTGAAAATTCATGGTTATACTCCTAAAGGTTCATGCTACAGAATCACCCATGTGAGAGAAGCTCAGGATTGCTTTAGCAAAAACATGCCAATTTTGGTTTTCTCAATTTTCAGCCATGGAAAAACCTCGAAAATGCGCGTACGAGTGTCTCGTATAGTGAGTCCATGCGTGAGCAAGTTAGGGGTCCTCAGGACTTCTCTGAACGGAGATACGGTTTTTTTTCGTTTTTTCGGATCTTGAGTGCCTTGTGAAAATTGGCTCCAAACTTCACGCAAATCAAACCTGGCGCGAAGGTTCGAGCTTCATTTTGTAGAGCTTGCTCTGATCTATCGGTTGACACCCCATTCACATACTTTCATGCGCACACTGCTGCGATATTGCATGATACAACAAAAAGCGACATTATTTTCCGGACAACCATATATTAGGTTGGCACATAAGTTTCGCAACTTTTCTCACAACTTTTCCCACAACTTTTCTCTTACCAAATGTAGCACTATCATTTTTTGGTATCGTGTAGGTGTTATGTAAGCTGCAAGCCTGCGCAGCTGTTTGATTTATGATAACGTAATATAAAAACTTTGAACACTTTTCGAAAACCTTCAAATCGAGGTTTCACGATTATTTGGCAAACAAGAATCCGTACAAAACCTGAAACAAGTATCATAAATGACTTATAGGCAGCATGTAGCTGAAGGTGACACATTAGGATCAGTAAAAAAGAAGTGAAATTCCAAGGCAAACTAAGATAAGGAGCCTTTGAGAAGTAGAACAAGACAAATGCGTCAAGTTTTGAGGGCAATCTGTCAATAAATAAGCTGCGAAACTTCAGAATTCGCTAAATCTTTGCGCAATAGGGTAATTCAACACGGTGAACACAAATATCATATTCATTTGTCGCCAAGATAACATTCGTTATTTGACCTCACGAAAGAGGCCTTCATGCGAATGGGTCTCATTTTTGTGATCAGCATGTCAATAACCCTCATAGGCCTCTTTCAACAAAATCTGACACAATCTAAAAATTTTCCCATTGTATCGTAAACCTACCCCAACCCTTACCAAAGATTGCAAAATTCGGCGAAAATGTCCGCATTTGCAGCTTACATCATAATCCTTACATTGCCAGAAAATAATGCTCTACGTTCAAAAAAAAACAGAAGTTACATAAAAAGTTGCATTACTTATGTGCCAACCTAATATGAGCAACCAACAACTGCTCACAGATCGCATGGACCTAATGAACCTCAAAAGAACTGAATGCTTTTTTCTTGTACACAGTATAATGCTGACATTACTCCTACAAGTTCAGGAAGTCTAAGTGTAAGAGTCTGCAGAGACGAGGCAATCCGTATGAAAGAGGTGGATGAAAAATCATTACCAGATGGAAATCTAGATGTAGCTTATAGTAACTATCGAAAGATTTTACCATGCACCACCCCCCACTTATGTTGCGAATGCTAAGACCAAAGTTATGATCACGTCATCAAGCGTCTATGAGTCTTTAAATGGCATAAGGCTTATAGAAGTATGAATTCATAATTATTGAACCTTTCAGCGCTTGCTGTTTCACAAATTCAACGCCGTCCGCAATCACTAGGTGATGATAATTATCTTGTTCGAAATTAAACCATTTATAGGCCACGTACACCATTTGTGCACTGATTTCAACAACAGTGATATTAATCTAAAACAGAGTTGGCAACTTGGCACGAATTGACTAGTTCAGCTTACCTTCGGAAAATGGTAGTGCAAAAAGCAATCCATTATTCCGCCACCAAGACCCAATAATAGTACATTAGCTTCACTGTCACGTGAGAATCTCAGAGCTTCGGAGTAAAATATAGTTTCTGAAAAGTTGACTTGCAAAGGCATGAAGAAAGGTCGACATAGTACCTGCGCAGATGTGATAGTAAGTATTTGGCTGGATATAACTGTGGTCAACTTTCCATCTGCTTGTGTCGATGTTCCTTTTTGAAAGTTCTACAAACGCCCTGACAAGCCGACTTAAGGGGGCATATACTGCGTGCATATGAAACGAGACATGTACCTGAAGGTAAAATGAGCCGAAATGCAGAGTGCACACCATCTTCTACTTCAAGCGTTTCAATGACTCGGAGAGCGTTTACACTGAAACAAGACTTTTTATAAGGAGCAAGAAGTTTATGCATGAGCGCTAAGCAAAATTTGTGCATTTGCTCATGTCCTTCATCATTTACTATGTAGGAATTATTATCGAGAAAGAAAACCTTCGTCGGCGAACCTCAAAAATAAGTTTAAAGGCTTTGAATCATCATAACAGCAATTAATTGCAACAGCTTTGCACGCGAGAATTTTTCGGCATGCTCACTGTTGTAGTCTCTTTGTGTATTCAATAAAAACACATGCAGAAAAAAAAACAACAATCAAAGCTGACAAAAAATATCTAATTTCAAGGTCACCCACTTTTTATGTTCTGGATCACTGTCATCTAAAAGCATATCGGCCACAACGATGTGACTTCCATCCTCTAGCGTAATACGTTCCCTTAATAAGTTACTATAAATCAACGATTTGAAGCATTTCTCAGCATGTTTGTCTGTAGTTTTCGTAAGACTTTCAGAGCTGATGTTGTGCTCAGAAGTTCAAAGTGGGGTGGTTGTAAGTTCAGAGTACATGTCGTACTTGCACTTATTCTTTCATGCCTTAAGCTGGTCTTTTCGACATGTAAATTACAACAAGAATATTTTTATTTAACAAATTATTCTACTCTTACTGACTTTCGACCGCGTGCTCACATGGGAATCACCAGCTTTATAGCACTTCTATTAAAGTATCCCAATAAAAGATTTAGCAAGTTCTAGCAATATCAATTCATATAATTGAGTCTAAGCTTCCGATACTTTTCTTCGAAGGCATCGTCCACCCTAGGTTGAGGATCTTGAGCTTTTGGCAGCATATGATAGTACGGCTTCTATCAAGCCAATGCGCAAGTCTCGGGGCAAAATGTCGCTTCGGAAGCGAAAAAATCGCTACAAAGTAACGAAGATGCACGAGGACTCCTAGACGGCACTGCCTTCCCCATCCATGCCCGCTCCGTAGGCGCCCATTCAATCACCGTTCCAAAAAGCCGGCCTGTGGGTTTTTCAGAAGGACTGTAGGAGTTTTTGCGAATTTCGACTTCGTATTCGAAATCAGGGACATGAGAAAGCCCTGAAACGAAAAAACCTGGAAGTTTAGAATCTGGGCGGACGGTGCCTTTAACAAGTTGACGACGAGGTCATTTTTTGAAGATTCGTCCCTGCGGACTAAACGTTTTCGTGCATCTCTATGCCTGGCTGCCAGTGGCGTACCCAGGATTTCCGCCCGGGAAGGGGGGGCGCGACAAAAAATTTTTTCGAATAAAGGTGCGTGGCGTTAGCCACGCACTCCGAAAAAAATTTTAGGAGTGCTTCTCAAAATTTTTGCGGGTCCCCAACCCCTAAAATCCGGAAAAAGGGGACGTGGCGTCAGCCACGCCCCAGAAAAAAAATTTTTTTACAAGGCTAATTTGAATTTTTAAAACTTTTTAAAAATTATTTCAATTGTTTACAAAAATAAACAAGTCAATTCCCCCGATTATGTGATTTTCGTCACTTTTCAAAAGTAGGCGGAGCTTGCCACTGAGAGGACGGAGCCAAGTTTTCCCAACGGTGGGCGGGCCGGCTCAAAGTTGCTTGAGGTCTTTGCGTTCTTCCACGGCCTCATCCGAGCTTTTTATACAAATAAAGGTCCTTGTGAGGGGTATAGGAGTGGGCGGAGTTTGCCAACAAAGGCGGATCTAATACATAAAATGTACCTGAGCCATGTTGATCAAATGAACACAAATCGAGAGGATTGGACAGATAGTGTTGGAATTAAGGCCGTCGCGCACCATTGCACGGCGTCCTTATTTTCTGCCCACAGGGACAGACTGCCTGCCGCGCACCATTGACCACTGCCGTCAACATGTTAAAGGCAGTGTCTCACCAAGACCGAGATTGTGCGGACTTCCACATATCCTACTAGAGGACATCCTTGCTAGGCCACTGCAACAAGATCAGCTTGATTTGGCTCTCCTCTACGCTGATACGCTCAAAATGCTTCGCAGAGAGTCGGTCGCATGGGCGACTTCTCCGGTCTTCTCAGACGTGTTTCAACACGTCCTTCCACTCAGCGCTCCCTTCTAAACATTTCTGCCATCGGTGCGGAGGCCAGAGTGAGATGGAACAGTGCGTCTGCGGAGGAGCTTTTCAAGCGATTTTGAATCTGCATGAGCGCCTAAGGTATACCTCCAGCGATGAGGTCATTACGATTTTCCGTCGCTGCGATTAGAATGCCTGGGCGATCATTCGCTGGGTGACAATTCTCAGATAATCGCCGGGGGCAAGCGGTCCGCAAACTCGCGCTTTTCTACAAGCGGTCAACAGAATTTTGGGGCGTGGCCAATCCTTCAGCTGGCGGCACTTCCTTTACGGTCGCATAATCTGCCAGCGGGCAGCAATACAGTATTTTCTGCAAGCGCTTGGCAAATTATTTCTTTCAGCGAGCGCTGGCCAAACTTTCAGCAAGCGCTCGGATTTTTTTAAGCAGTTTCGGGCATACGCCGAGCACAGGCAAGACTCTGTGTGGCAGAGGTATCACCGTTGGTTCAATTACTCAAGTTTGAGGTACTTTCTATCAGCGGAAAGTACCTGGGGGTTGCGCGTCCTCCACAAAGGACCGTGCGGCTCTCGAAAATTTTGCATATTTTCGCGGACTTTGCGGCCACTGCGCCGCAGCTAATCTATAAGGAAGCCGCGATCGTTCTTCAAGCATTCGTCTAAAATTTCGCTAAAATTTTTCCAAATATCTGCAAGCGGACAGCAAAAAATCAGCGAACTACTTTTCCGGTGCCCGCCCGCCCATAAATCGCATGGCCGCCTGCCCCCGGCAATTATCTGAGATTGCTCACTTTATCGCTTCAACACCGGATACACCCATAGCGATTTCGTAGACGCTCACGCACCACTTTGTGTTACACGCACTTTTGGAAGATTTGCGCTATTTATTAGAAGTGCATTTATTCAAGAAAATTCGAACAGATGTGGCACCGTATGCTTTCAGAGAACACTACATTAAAAAGAGGAAAGATATGGTTTATATTCCATTCTAATTTCTACCTACGTTTTTGTACGGGCGCAAGTTAACATCTGCAATGGAACCGATTACAATCTATTAATTTTTGAGATACTCTTTCAGTCACTGGTATGCAAATACGCTAGCTTCGCGACAGTATGGCCATGCCTCTATCTTTGTAAATGATTGTGAATAGGCATATTTCGAGGAGTTCGCGAACTCTTGTCTGCCCTGCGAACGATTATACATACAGACGAGTATAACTCCTGCCTTGTATAGGATCCATGCAGACGCGACAACGCGTTTGCGCCAACAGTTACCCGTTACGAGTTTCCGAGTGATGTTTTCCAATGTTTTCTTTGCTTATTCTTTGCTTTTTAAGTAATTCTTTACTGATAAAGAATAACAAAGTAAGTTAGAGAATAAGTTCTGTTTTCTAATAGTTATATCGTCGCCGATTTCAGGAATCTATGATGTTTTCCAATGTTTTCTTTGCTTATTCTTTGCTTTTTAGGTAATTCTTTACTGATAAAGAAGAACAAAGTAAGTTAGAGAGTAAGTTCTGTTTTCTAATAGTTATATCGTCGCCGATTTCAGGTATCTATCCTTCAATTCAGCTGGCTTGGCAGCTGGAAGGCGGAGCTTCGTGTTCTGATTGAAGCTAGATAATGATCAAAAGACTGCGTTCTCTCGCGCGTGTCTCTGATCATTATCAGGGTGCGAGGGGCCTATTAGTCCACAAAGCCCCGCCTTCCAGCCGCCAATCCATTTGAATCAAACGTTACGTGGAAGCCACGTCAATTTCATGTGTATCTGTCACATGATGCCTCTTTATCGTGTGGAACATTTCATGGAACGCTACTGGGCTTTGCAGCAACCTCGGCTCTTGACAGTTTAAAAAGTGCTTCACAAGAAAAAAGAGGCACTACGTGACAATAAATACACATAAAAATGACGCGAAGGGGCACCATGAAGTGACGAAAAATACATAAAACTGATGTGACGTAGCTTTCAGGTATTAGGTTGTCAAGAGAATAATGTCGTTTTTAACTTGCTATGGGATCGCGACCACTCGCAGCACAAAAATGGTTGAGGAATGCTGTTTGATAAAGCAAAGCGAGCTGTACAAGAAGACACACAAATATTTGCTCCAAATTTGCTCCACATAAAGTTTGGAGCCAAAATAAAGGATCTGAACGCCGAAAAACTGAGCAAAATTGTATCTCCGTTTGAAAAAATCCTACAAGCTTTTTACCTGTTCAAGCACATAGTCTCTACAATCTGGTATTCATCTATAAATTTTCTTACTTTCCCCATAGCTGGAACCCGATAAACAATACATACACCAAAATGGGCCAAAAGCGCCGAAATGAGCCCTTTTTAAAATTTTTGTCTCCTCTAAATTCAATATTTCTCAAAAACTATCGCCTGCAAAAGGCCTAAAATTTACGTTTTACTTCCAAAGATTCATACTTTAGATTTTCCTAAGTGGGAGCAGCCCAGCGCAGCTTTGGCAAAACTGAAATTTTTTTCATTTCTAGCCACGGAAAAATATAGCAAGTTCACAGGTAATTGCCAGATGAAGGAAGTATGCGCTTGCGCAAGTAACGAACTCGTAGACTTTTCTAGACGGAGAAACGTTCTTTTTCGACTTCTCATTTATTCAAATCCTTTTGAATTTAGGTTCGGACTTTATGTGAAACAAACTTTGAGCAAATATTCGGATGCTAACTTGTAGAGTTTTCTTTGCTCTATCAAACACTTCCCCTTATGCCTTTTGGGGGTTCGTCCGCTTGTGGTGCCATAGCGTGCAAGTACAAAACGGCATTATTTTCTTGACGATCTAATGGATACTCAGAATAAGCGATGATTCACCTACTCAACAAACAGAAACGCCTTTCTAACATACCTTTTAAGCAACGATTAAGCGAAGAAAACACTAGAAAACATTAGCTAAGATTCACAGTAGTATTTGTTGACCTCAATCGTTGTCGTCTGCAGGGACACTATATTAAGCAGGAAATCTACTTGATTATATATGTCCGAGCAACCGAGATCGTACATTTATTCTGTCAGAAATTATAACGAGAACATTCAAATGCGGACACTACTTACTTGTGATTATCAAACAAAAACAGGAGAAGATAAGTGCAGTGCGAGAACAGTAAATGTGCTAACACAGAGGATGAGGGACATACGGAAAGCATTCCATACTACTTATATATTAGGTTATCCGGAAAATAATGCCGCACCATGTTTTATCATATAATATCACAGCATCGTGCTCACGAATGTAAGCAAATGGGGTATCAACCGAAAGGTCAGAGCAAGCTCTACAAAATAAAGCCCGAACTTTCGCGCCAAGTCTGATTTGCGTGAAGTTTTGACCCAAATTTCATAAGGCATTAAAG